AGTAAATAATTAAACAAATTAAAATCCCAAAATCAGCTCAGCACGTGGTGACTGTTTTCCTTCTCATTCTCAGCTCCGGATTCCATTTCTTTTCCACAATCAATTTCTTCTGCTTCTGCGGATCCTTATTTATCCAAGTAACCACTATTTCAAACTAAATCCATGCACTTGAAGACAAAGTAACTACAGCAAACTAATTGCCTTCCATGAAATTAAATCACCCGCCCAAATTCAATTCCATCCATGCAATTAAATCGATTATAAAAAATAATGATTCAATCCATTCAATTAGCTTTGTCACGTCCTTGAATTGGCAGCATAAATAAATTGTTAACACAATTTATCCATTTAGAATGCTCCCAATCGATCTTTAAATCGTCGAATCCACATCTTAATTTTTAGACCACGAGAATTAAATATCGTGCTAGTCGATATCGCATCAGCAACGACCTTCGTGGCCACCTTCCCACTCCTCAAGTAAATTGCATAATTGCATTGCACCCGGCTTTATCTTTGGGGTTGGCAATGGTTTGAGAGGGTAGGGATCCCTTTGGTCTCTCGGTGAGGATCCCGACAAGATTGCTAATTTGCACTTCCAAGTTTTAGAGACTCGTTTGATGGCTTCGAAGTCCCGCCTCAACCGAGGTAAACTTGGATGTTGCCACATCCATAAACTTCTCAATCTTCTCAACCTTCTGAGAGCTTGTACTCACAAAGGTGTTAACAAGGTCTTCTAATTTAGAGAGCTTGTCACCTTATTGTGGTTGTTGAAAACCTTAACCACCTTGTGCTTGGTATGGTTGTTGGAAGTTCGAGTTTTGGAATTGAGGCCTTTGTTGGATGAATGCTGGCCGAGGTTGGTAGTTTCCCATTGGACCTTGGAAACCGGGAGGTCTTGGATTGGTAGGGGAAGACCAAGCGAAGTTTGGATGATTTCGCCACCCGGGGTTGTATGTGTTGCTATAGGGGTTGTTCCCTCTAGATCCTTGTAGAGCTATATCTTCAAGCAATTCGGTGACTTGAGGAGGGGTCATGTTCATCAACCTCTCTTGGCATAGCGAGTCAACGAGGATCTTGTCATCTTGAATGAGTCCTCCATACAAAGTTTCTATCCAAAATTGCCCCTCGAACCCATGGTGAGGGCATTGGAGGAAGTAGTCGGAGAACCTTTCCCATGCTTCCCTCAATGTCTCATCCTCCTCTTGCTCAAAGTGAGTGATCTTCTTCCTCCACTCAGTCGTCTTGGAAGGAGGACAGTATCGAGTCATGAACTTGTTGAGGAGATCGTCCCAATAAGTGATGGATAAAGTCGGACGGTTGTTAAGCCATCGGATTTCCTTCCGCGCCAAAGAATAGAGGAAGAGCTTCAATAGCAATGCCTCCTCGGGGACGCTATTAATCTTCAAGCTTCCCTCTAGCTCAAGGAACCTTTGGACATGCTCTCTTGGAGATTCATGGGCTAGCCCGTGGAAGTAAGCATTTTGTTGAATCATCGTCACGAGAGAGGGCTTGATCTCAAAGTTGTTGGTGGCCATGGGTGGATGTAAGATGGGAGATTGGATATCCGCCGCGCATGGAGCCATGTATTATCCCATAGTCCTTGGCCCTTCCTCGGCTTCCGCTTCTCCATTTGGGTTTGGAAGCAGATTAGCCTCTCGGTGTTGATTCGCCGCCATCTCAACTACAATTCCTTCTTCAATTGCTTCAACTTCGGAACCAGCTTGTTGTCCCCTCTCTTCACTTCTCCTTCTTGCCTCCTCTTGCTCCCTCTCTCGAGCTAGAAGTCGGAGGGTTCGGTTGATGTCCTCGTCCAGTGGTGTCAAAGGCGCCGGATTGCTCCGGGTCATGCACCTCCCTGCACACACTAAGGGAACACAACACGTTTAGCACAAGCAAACACTTCACAACTTAACACAACATAAATTAAAAGCTAGATTAACACAAAACAATTTTTCACGATAATGGACCGTTGTCCCCGGCAACGACGCCAAAAACTTGACTCGCTCTAACTATCACAATAAAATCCCACCTAATGTCTAAGTATAAACTTTAGATGGGTGCAATATAGGGCAAGTATGTATAAATATCGACCCGGGCCGGTCTATGTACAACTACTTCGACTGTTTGAAACATTATCTTGCAGATCGGTTTTGGTGAAAACAAAGATTGAAAACTAAATTACTTTGCAAAAGAAAAATGGATTTGACTTTAGTTGAGAAAGCTTCACTCGGGTGTTGCTCCCCCTAGCTAACAGCTATGACTTGAAGAATCGAACGACCGTGTGTGGTTAGGGGGGTCACAAACCGTAGGGAATTCTAATAAGCAACCAAAGTTACCCTCTTAGATTATAGGTTGAGGAATGGGATACAATCCAAGCCACTTACGTGACCTTCTCAACCTATCGACTGAGGATTAGTTAGACTTCACCCTCGAATTAGAGTCCAGATGGTCAATTACAACCAAACCCTAAGTATTTAATACGAATTACAAGGTTTGCACTCTAACCAACCTATACTAGGAGGCATAGAATGCCCAAGAAACCCATCTCTAGAAGAGCCTCTTAAGTTAAGGCCTTAAGGGGGTTTCTCTCTAAACTAGGTTAGAATGGCAATTAGATTGATAGGCTTTCACACAACACAATCATTTCTGAATAATACCTCCACATTCACATTAAAACACATGCACAAACAAATAATTTAATTCATACAAGCATTCACATAATTGTAGCTAGGGTTTACAAACACCCAAGTGAAATAAAGGACTACTCCATGCTAGGAGAAGGGAAAACACAAAATAGGGAAAGGAAAACCATCATGAAGAGGCAAGCCTTGCTCCTTGTGCTGAAGAAAACCAAAATCCTTGCTTGGAGATCAACCCCTAGCTTTTCCTCTTCTTTGGTTCGTCACTTTCTCACTCTAAAATCTGAAGAAGGAGAAGTTTTTCTCACTCTAGGTCTCTCCCTTTCTTCTTCCTTTGAGCTCCACACTTAAACTCAGATCGAGCTGAGTTCACGGCCTTCTATTTCACTGCCATGAACACCTAAACACGTCCATGAACTCAGTATCGTCTCCAAAACGCACCGCTTCACTCTCCAGGGTTCACGGTTTGCACTCAAAGTTACGATCTTAAAGTCCGTGAACTGCCTGGTCGTCAGTAACCTCTGGAACCCTCTTGGACACCTCACTTTTCACGGTTTGTGGTTCCATTTCACGGCCTTAGAGGTTGTGAACTCCAATGCCAGGCCATGAACTGCAGCTGATTCCTCCTCTTTTCTCGATCTTCGCTCCATTTCTTCCAACTTTCGACTCCGGGGTTGGTTCCACCTGTTAGGATTTGAAACACACTGAAACACACAAAACCTATCGTAAAATCAACCTTTTAGGAGTTCAAATGTCACAAACGTCATGTAGAACCGGGGGTAAAAAGTGTACAATTAGGCCCGAATCAGGGAGTGATGGAATCAATCTTCTTCTCCTTGCTCATTGGGTTGATTGGATCTTCAATGAGCTCCCCCAAGGTGTTTTCCTCTCTAAACACTCCAAAAACCTAACTTCTCACTCTAGGGCGACTCTCCTTTAAAAAGTGCAGCAAGAGGGGTATTTATAGAAAGTAGATGGTCGTCAAGGCCTCCAGGGTTTGACCCAATGGTCGTGGGCGTGACCAGCCTGGAATGTCTTCGAATCACTCAAAATGACGCATATTGTCCCGTCTGTAATTTCCAAGATCACGACCTCCTTCATGAGATCACGGTCGCGATCTTTGTATCCCGGGCACAATCTTTTGTCGCGGTCAAAATATGCCATGCCCGCAATCCGGGTGAGGAGAATCTATGCTTCCTTCTTGGTCGCCTGCTGGGGTTTGTGGCCACTGCTCGCGGCCACAATCATCGTCACGGCCTGGTCAAGGGCAGTGACCTGTGCTTACCAATCATGCTCGGATGAACTCCAATTGATTCCCGATCAATCCCAAATGATTATAAGACCTGAAATTTCATAAAAAACACTTGGAAAAAGCATAAACCACGACAAATTGGGGTCGGTTCCCCTATGGAAACCTTCATATCAAGAATATCTATACACGGTGAATTAGCATGCAAACGCCTTAAGAATAGGGGCTGAATAACAGCTATTTTAGGTGTTATCAGTCCTCACTGGGATAAGATATGAACATGCAAAATGTGAATGGAATCACTCACTCTCTAACAGTGGGGTCATGACCATTTGATGCAAGAGATGTGCATCATCAACACTCATCCCTATCATCTCTTCACCACGATGACAACCTCTAAATGTTAGACTTCACAAGATGGTTGTCATCACTCAATCACTAGCTTGTCCGGAGGTCTTAGACACCGGTTCAAGTGACTGGCAAGGGTCTTGGACATGGGGGAAAAGGCCGTTTGGGCGGTGGTAAACATAGCATGAGGTTTCACATCTTCAACCTAAAACATCCACTAGCATCGGCCAAAAACCTCAATGGAACTCAAGTAACGGGAGCTCCGGTACACAAGGATGACTCACAACGGTTTAGAAACGAAGAACGCAAAGGGTCGTTCTATCGATCTCAATTAAGCTGAAGTCGTAAAAGCTCCTACTATGAGAATGACCCTAAGTCACACGGCTCAAAAGGGGTTGACTAGGTGATAAAATGTTTCAGGACAATCAAATTTTTTGGCGTGGACTAATCTATGTCTCGGGTTAATTGCATAGGGTGCCACTTAAGTTTAGTATTTGTTGCACGATAACCACCTAAATACGTTTTGTTGCAACTAAACCATTTATGTCAAATTCCAGTAGCACCGTTACCATTTCCGTCCCCATGACTAACTGTAGGTGTCAAAATGTAAATAGCCATGCCACTTGGGCTTCCACATCAGCTTAGTCAAAGATCCAACTCTTTCCTTCAGCGATCGATAGCCATCTTTCTTTTCTCTGATCTTTAGATTTCAAGAGAGATCCAAATGAAAACAAGTAAAATCAAAGATCCAACTGCGACACAGGTTAGCAGAGTTCTGACACTTTACTCATTCCCGATTCACGACGGCAACGTTTGAACCCGTAGACCGTTTCGCTGCAGAGTTCTGGGTTTCCATCGAAGCTGCCGTTGTAAGCGTCGACCGACAGGGACAGAGGGATGCCGCCGGTTAATTTGTTATTGGAAAGATCGAGGAGGTTGCGTTTCAGCGAAGACATGGTACCTTGAATTCTGCCGGAGAGTTGGTTATCTGAGATGTTTAGAGCGTTGAGAGATGGTAGAGATCCCAACGAGGACGGAATCTCGACGGAGAGGGAATTGCTGGCGATGTTTATATAGCTGATAGAATTACATAGGCCTATAGATTTGGGAATTGCCCGCTCAACTTATTGTTCTGCATTTGAAGGTTGCTCAGAAGCTTCAAACCTCCGATGCTCTCCGGAATTTTGGCCGAAAACTGATTATCGTTCAACGAGATGGAAACCAACGACGTCGCCTGTAATAGAAGAAATATCCTCGGGGATTTCCCCAGAGAGACGGTTGTTGCTGACGAGCAACTGTCTGAGTGATTTCGCCTTCTCGATGTCAGCTGTTAATCTGCCTTCGAACTTGTTAGCCGTAAATAACCATCACGCGCAACACAATCATCTACAATACTTCATCATGCGCTACATCGCCCAAATCTCATCCCAATCACACTTAAGATATGATACGCTATAAATGATCAAATTGTGTAATTAAGATATTAGATCCTATTTTATATCTCCATGTATACTCCTTTGTACGTGTGTGTGTATATACCTGTGAAACTTAATGCAAAGGGAGGCTATTCAATCCAAAACCTTCTATCTTGTAACTGAACTGAATGTCCTTGATGTCTATAATGTTCAGGCTGGGCAATCTCTAAATCCTGGTGTAAATCTCGCCGAAGAGCAAGTTCTTGCTCACCCTGAATCTCAGCAGAGTCGTGCAACTGGCGTAATTTACTCACTGGGATTCCGCCGGTGAAGTTGTTCTGGAGCATCAGAAGTCCTCTCGTCACCCCTTTCTTGCACATATTGGACGGAATCGGACCCGTCAAGTAATTCTCGGACACGTCGATGAAATCAAATCCGAAAATAGAGCCCAGTTTCTCCGGCAGATGACCCCTCAGCTGGTTCTCGTACAACGAAAGATTGACCGGCTTGGTGAACCCCTAATTTCCGGCGGGACAATGTAGGAGAGCTCGTTCTAGAACAACCAGAGAGTTACAAGAATAGTCAAGTACCTGGTCGTCGACAAATCACCTTGGAGATGATTCCTCGACGCATCAAAATTCTCCAGTATGGCTGTGGGGAGAGAAGATTGGTTTATTTATTGGATTTAAATAGGGTTGGGCTAGATTGAGTCAGCATACTATAGCTGATGTGGCGGCCCAAGTGACATGGCTATTTACATTTTGGCACCTACCGTTAGTCATAAAAATGGAAATGGTAACGATGCTACCAAAATTTGACGTAAATGGTTTAGTTGCCACAAAACATACTTAGGTGGTTATCATACAACAAATACTAAACTTAAGTGACAACCTATGCAATTAACCCTCTATGTCTCCATATTCCTTTCTAATGACAACATGAATGTTACTCGCCATGGCAAGAGGGATCTATCGCACATGAAAAATACGATCAGCACAAATCTCACATGGCTACCAAGCCGCTGAATCATCCATTCCAATTTCAAAAAATTTGATGCATGGAAATTGCAATCAATGAGTACTCAAGTCAAGACATGCATCCATTTGCACACATATGATAACTAAACACTTGCACCAACCTAATGCAATTCTCAATCATCATAATAGGATGCACTCGATCACTAGTAAACAATCCAAAATCAATGCCAATAAACACAAGATTCTCCACAATCCGACCACTTTGATCAAGCATTCACACACATTCACATGCCAATCACAAATGATACACCCCCACACTTAAGCATGAAATTGTCCTCAAAGGAGAATAAGGGTAGTGTGAAGAAATTATCGAACAATGACAAGTGAAAGTCGGACATAGACCGGGGTATGAGATTCAGAGCTTCAAAAAGAAGAAGTAAACACAAGCAAAGGAACACACATTTTTGCTCAAGGCGAGGGTATTACACATTAAAGTATTCAACATCATGATTAAAAGAAGAAAAAACTCACAATAGTACTTGTTAACACACATAAAATAAAAGAAAAATTAAACAAAGTTCAGTGTTTCAAGTGGAGAAGTGGGGCGAAAGAAATTGGCTTGGCCACATGTCACACTCGGTTGACTACCTCTCTTGGGATGTAGATGGCTGCCTGTCTTTGTCGGTATCAATGCCCTGACATCGGGCTATCCGCTCCAACAAGGATTAGAACGATCCACTAGGGTAGAAACCCCTGTATACTGCTCCTCGATGCAAGCAACTCGATCCTTGAGGTGGACTGTAGATGAGGAAGGACCGGCTTCGAGCGATGATCATGATGGTGATAGTGGTGGTGGCATAGGGTGCCGACGGCGGCACTGGCGTGACTGGGATCTCGGCTGAGGAGGAGGTATCAATATTGCATCGGGCTCCTATGGTGCCTTTTCGACGTGTGGCCTCAGGACAACCGAAGGGCGGAGGCCGTCAAGGTATTAGACTCTCTTTCCTCCTTCGCCAACTTCATGTTGTGAATGCCTCTACTGGGAAAGGCTCAGTCCGACCGATGATTGAGGAACTCGTGGTTGATGTGACCAAAGTATGCAACTTTAACAATCTTTATATGATTTTCTGATGTCGCCTTTCTTGAACTCGAAAACAAAGATAGATGCAGGATCAATCCGACAATCCCGACCCGTGATGAAGGTCAATTGGTATATTAAACCAATCAGGCTGCACCAACTCATGGAAAGGGGCAATTGATATAGGTGTTGCTCGCCACAACTAGACGCGTTCTTTAGTTGATAAGAGATAAGTGAAAACTCTCGGAATCCTTGACAGAAGCTTGCACAAAAACTTGTTCGTATTGAACTTGAAACTTGACTTTGATTGATTGAAAAATTGATGAATTACAAGCTAGAACTCGTCCCTATTTGCAGACTATCTAAAACAAATCCAAAACAAACAATAAAGGCAAAACAAATGCCCAAATCCTACAAGTAAAAGAAGAACCTACTTTGACCCATTCAGCCCCTTAAGAAATGCCTTAAAATCCTCCCCCCTTTGTTCCATTCATATTTGAGATCCTTTCCACACCTTCATTCCATCTAGGTTAAGGAAATGATCATACTTTTGGGATAAGGAACCCTCAACAACCCATTGTTCCTCTTGGCCGCCACCTTCATCCTCCAAGCCTGTCTGATCTCCTTCAACGAATTGTAACACCATGATGGGCTTCCCAATGTGATGATCCACGTCCATATGCTCAAAGTGACGATCCAAATAATGAGCAAACTCTTCTCTTAACCTCTTAGCTTGTAAATGTATAATTATAACTTCATGTTGTGCAGTGGGCTTGGTCTTGATGACCTCATCTATACTTCCCTCTTGAAAAAGATTTTCCCTCAAATCTGAATTACCATCCAAACAAGGTGCAAGATCAGAGGCATTGAAGGTTGCACTTATCTCGTACTCTCCCAGCAAATCGATTTTGTAGGCATTACTTCCAACCTTTGAAACCACTTGGAAGGGACCTTCACCTATAGGCAATAGTTTAGATCTCCTTTGTTAAGGAAACATCTCCTTTCTCATGTGTACCCACACCCAATCTCCAGCTTCAAAGGATCGAGGCTTTCTACTCTTGTTAACGTTCTTCATGATCTGCTCCGTCCTTCTCTCGATATTCAACCTTGCCTTCTCATGGAGATTCTTTCACAAACTCGGCCTTCTTTGCTCCATCCATATTTAGTTTCTCCTTTAATGGTAAAGGTGTCACATCCAAAGGGGTAAGTCGATTGAACCCATACACGAGCTCAAGCGGTGAGTACTTGGTAGTCGAATGTACAACCCTTTTGAAGGAAAACTCGATATGTGGTAGACAATCTTCCAAAACCTTGATGTTGCTCTTAATCACCGCTCTTAGCATTTGGGAAAGAGTAAGGTTCACCACTTCAGTTTGTTCATCCATTTGAGGATGACAAGTCGTAGAAAACAAAAGTGCCTAATTTTCTCCAAAATGTCTTCAAAAAATAGCTCAAGAACTTCGCATCTCGATCAGACATGATGGTACATGGCATACCATGCAATCTCGCAATCTCCTTGAAGAATAGATCCGCCACATTATTCGCATCATCCGTTTTATGGCATGGAATGAAGTGTGCCATCTTTGAGAAACGATCCACCACTACAAAAATGGAGTCTCTGCCTCTTTTTGTCCTCGGCGACCCTAGCACAAAATCCATAAAAAACAAACAAGAACAAATGAAGTGTTCTTGCCTCTTCTTGTCCTCTGCCTCTTCCTTCATTCGGATTTGGTGATATCTCGGCCTCAAGTCAATCTTCGAAAACAAACAAGAACCATGCAATTCATCAAGTATATCATCTAATCGAGGTATAGCATGACGATACTTAACTGCTATCTGGTTGAATGCTCAGCAATCGACAAATATTCTCCACGTGTGGTGCTTATTAAGCACGAGGATGACATGAGCTACGCAGGGACTCATGCTCTCTCGAACATGTCCTTTCTCCATAAGCTCATCAATATGTTGCTGCAAATCCTTTGTCTCCTCTAGATTCATCCTATAAGTCGCCTTATTTGAGATGGTATCTAAAGGAATGAAATCAAATTTCACGGTCTATCCCGCGGATTGGAGGTAGGCCTTTTGGGGCTTCCTCAGGAAAGACATCTTCAAATTCTTCTAATACCACTCGTGCTCTAGGTAATATCTCTTCAATTATCTCTTGATTGAGTAGCACGCCTTTATAGATGATCATGATCATGGTTTCATGATCATTTACTGCTTGCTTCAGGTCCTCACTTCGTGCTATCATTAATGACTTGGCCTCCACGGCACTAGACCCTCCATGTACTCTCTTATTCGTGGCTTGAGATTCCTGCTCCTTCTCTTTCTCCTAATTTCGTTGCATTTGGAGTTGATCTTCATAGACTTCCTTGGGAGACAGAGTCTTCAACAAGAATTTCTTCCCACCATGCATTAACTCCTACTTGTTAGTAACTCCATAGTGATGTGCCTTTCGCACAAATTGTCATGGCCTCCCAAATAAGGCATGCGTCGCTTGCATAGGCACATCATCACATAAGATCTCATCCTTGTACCTTCCAATCGAAAACTTCAAGAGAGCTTGCTTTGTTAATTTGATGGCGCCATGATCATTGAGCCATTGAAGTGAATATGGCTTGGGATGCTTCAAAGTATTTGATCCCAACTTCTTAACCTAATAGACACTAATGACAGTAGTGCAACTTCCACCGTCAATTACCAACGAGAGTAGTTTCCCATCCACCATGCACCTTGTATGGAACAAGGTCTCTCGTTTTTTAAGTTCCGCCTTGGGTTGCACATTTAGAATCCTTCTAGCTACAAAAAGATCTCTTGGTGGTGCCTCCATCTATATCTTCTCATCCACGTCAGAATCGAAGTCAACATTCTCTTCTTCCTCAAAATCAGCGACATACTCTCCATCCTCTAACACGACTAGAGCTCTTCTATTGGGACATTGGCTGACCATAGGTCCTCTTCCATGGCACTTGAATCATTGAATCCCCCACTAGAGCCTGCGGGTCCCTCTCTTGCTACTTAAACCTTAGCTGCCAGTTTTGGTACTTTTGGCTTTGAAATGGCTGGCTTAGGGTTTTGAAATCGAAGGCACTCCTTGCCTTGGTGCACTTGAGGGAGGTGTGAACCTTCTTCCAAGGTTACTATATTGTTGCTTCTCAACTTTGGCCGCCATTGCAACCAAATCGTATAACTCTCTAAATGGTTGAATTTCCACCACCTTCCTGGTTTCTCGATTGAGACCGTGTATGAATCGTGCTATGGTGGCTTCATTCTCCTCTTCGAGGTCAGCTCTAATCATCAACAACTTCATCTCCTTATAGTAATCCTCCACACTTTTTGTACCTTGTCGTAAGGTTTGTAGGGCTTGATACATCTCCCTACGATGGTAGCTATGGACGAATGTATCCCGCATGATGCTCCTCATCTCTTCCCATGTCTCAATAGGGAGTTTCCTATTCCCCTTTCTTCCCGTACAAATTTGATCCCACCGGATGATAGCATAATCCGTGAATTCTATTGCTGCCATTTGAACTTTCTTTCTTTCGGAATAGTTGTGATAGTCGAAGATCATCTCCATT